CCTACTAAATTTAACCCATGAACGGCATTTTCTGCGAGCCTAACTTCAAGCCACAAATAAACAAACGAAGTGTTCGATCGTTTAAATAGCTGCTCGCCAGATTTTATTGCATTATAAAGAAAAGTTATTGAAACTAAATACAACTAAATAAACAACAACAACTAAAACACCTATCAAGTATCAATTCTCTTAAGTGACACATTCTATATTCTTTCATTCCATTCGTTTAGCATTGCGTCATATGTTGTTCCTACTAAATCGAAGTAGGTGTGTTTTTTTCATATTATACCCAATTAGGAATAATGTTTCTCGTGAGTAAAATTTGTTCCATGGTGAAAGTGCTTTTCTCCCATATTCTTAACACCGTATTATCCCTGATGCAGATTTTTTATTAATACTCTTCATACTTTTTCCTTATTTTGTATTAATTTATGTCAAAATGAATAGAAAATATTATGTTTAGCATTTTAATAATTTAAGGTTATGAAATACAGCAAGAAACACCAGTGTTTTTTTCTACGTTAAAGTTAAAATCTTCCAATCACGGCTCACTTCTAAATAATAATTTTCCAAATTAGCACTTACTTGCAGTTATTTAGATCTAAGAGAAGTAGTTATTCATCATTGAAATTTATTTAAATTGCAAAATCAATTATTAATAAGTTTTTGAATATGAATGTAAAAAAAAATTTTTTTTAACTACTTTTTTCAGATTTTATATTTTAGGTACAAATATTATTCCGATAATCTAAGTTTTTTTAGTGACTATTATACTGTTTTTTTATGATTCAAGAATGTCAAAATATATTTTTCCTTGTAATTAGAGCGCCAGAAAAAAATATATATATAAAAAAGACACCGGTGTCCCCTCTGCGTCAAAGAACTAATTTTTAACACGAGACTTTTAAAAAAACTCTTTTTATATTTTATCAATGACAACATTTTTTTTTTTCGAAATTCGAAATATTTACGGGAGGTGTTGTGGTTTTAGTTTTGTGTAGCATGTGAATCGATCGTAAAATATTAGCGATCATAAAATCGTTTTTACGTGTGTGCTTACATTTTATCATCGGTTTTGTGAATGCTACTGCTTAAACGGGAAAAAAATGAAAGAAACTGAACGAGAGGCACATATTTTATGAATCACCAAAAAATACGGTTTATTCAAACGTATTTTTTTCTTTTAAGTTTGAAAAATATGTATTTAATAAAAGACAAAACCTTTCTACTTATGAGTAAAATTCTATTATTCAATCTTTAAACTCGTTTAGCGAAACCAATTAAAGATGAATAACGTTATTGTATCATAATTTAATCTCATTAATAATTTATCATAAAAATATGAGTTTGTTTTAATGAAGCCTGAAACCTTAAAAGTTGTAACTCGTAACGCTTCATTGATTATTTTAATTTAGTTGATAATTGATTATTTCAATAAAGATTCTATTCAAGTGAGTATATTTTTAAATACTTATTCATAATGGTACTTTCTTCTGTTTCAGATATCGAAAATAGTTTTTATATAGAAGGACTTGTTGGTATATCGATATGCAGCTTGGTGATTATTGCTCTCATTGCTGTTTTGTTATATTATATCATCCCTTGGCATAAGTGACTGCTTAAAAAAATGAACATTTGCAAAGACATCATGCTTCATCTGACTTGCTCATCATTTAAAATAATTCAATACCATTTGAAATGATTGCTATAAAATAAAGTGCTTAAAAATTGTGTCGTTTACTTTTTTATTGAAAGTACTTAGCTTTAAAGAACAGATTGTGTCTTAACTACCACTACGATTATTAAACATCAATTCACTAGTATATAAGACGTGCCAACTTGATTCAATCTTGATCAATTCCTTTTGATAGATGAAGGTTGGCATTGTCTAATGGTCTCTCCCCACAAGATTTTAGGTTTTATACAATCTTACTAATTCCATTGATGAAACAGGAGTCACAGCTAAGAAAATTGCTCTTCAGGGAGAAAAAAAACGGATAGAAGTACAATGCCCGCCGCCTTTTAAGATCACTTCCATTTTGAGAACACGCGATTTTATAAGGCGGCTGATTTCATAAAACTGAATAAGATAAAGGGACAAATTTTTTGTTGCATTTATACAAAAACTTGATATTGCTTAATTTGTGTATGGGGAATTTCAAATCTGGAATGATTTTTTTTTCCTACAGCTACAGATGTTTTTAAAATGACATTTTTAGTCAATTTTTTTGTCGAAATGTACAAGTTTAAGAACAAGTATATAATAGGGGGTTACGCAAATGTTGCTAGAAACCTTTGGGGGGAGTTAAAGCACACTATTAGGTTTGAAATTGCATTAGAACCCATGCACTGAAATGTCGTTATACGCCACTGTTGACGTGTGCTTCTGAATAGGTCATTAAAAGAGAAGCCCCCCTAACCACGTTCGACGACATTTTCGGGCATGGGTTCCTATGCAATTTAAATCCTAATGATGTGCCTAACTCCCCTAAAAGTTTGTCACATTATTTACGCGATGCCCTACTATGTAAAAAGTCTTTAAAGCCTCTACATTTTGACAAAAAATGTCATTTAAGAAAATTGTAGCTTGGAGACAGAAACCTATTGCAGATTTGAGATCAGCGATGCGAAAGTAACTAAGATCTATTAAAAAATCTCATGCTAAGATCTATCAACAACAAAAAAAATTGCTCACTAGTATAATTTTTCGCCACTTAGGGAAAAAATATTAAACATTAGCAATACACTAAAAGTTAAATTGATTCAAATTTGTCTCGTTTAAACCAAGCGGTTTTTTCTTCGAAAAAAAAAATATCTTTGTTAAACAGGTTGTCATTTCGTTCAGAAGAAACCTTTTATTTCCAAGATGGTGGAAAAAACTTAAAATATACGAAGAAACTGGATTAAATGGAATAAATTAAAAATGACCAATATAATTCTTTAACAATAATTGTTATAAGAATAACTCAAATTTAAACAAATTAAATTTAATATATTAACAGAAAGTTTAAAGTTTTTCATTTACTTTTTTTAAAGAAAAAATTATTTATGTATTACTTAGATTTTTGGAGAATTTTCAGTTGTATGTATATTATCTAAGATTTGATTTGAATATTCATACTTAATATTATTTGATTATAAAAATTAGTATGCTGTTTATTATTAGGAATTTAATATGTGTTTCTTAGATGTATGTGATTTGTTAATTTAGTGGTATTAATAAAATTTGATGTTATTTTAATAGTTTTTTTATATAATTATATAAAATTAAGTTTTTTTATTCTTTGACATGAAATATTGCAAATAATTAAATTTTTTTAAGAAATTCATAAAAAAATTCTGGAATTTTTTCTGTTTATTAGATTTTAATTATTTAAAATTGATATATTAAATGTCACAAAAATTAATATTATTTAAAGTGTATTACAATTATGAATTATTTAAAACAATTATTTAAATATTTGATATTCATTTTTAAAATAGAGTTTCTTCCATTTGGGTTGGAAGAAGCTTATTTCTTGCGGGTCAATTTTTTTCTACTGTGAAAGAAGGTTGCTTGGTTGCTATCTCCGATTGTTAAAAATTGGTTTTTAAGAGGAAAAAAAAAATCAAGTTATAAATAGAAAAATCTTTTTGTTACGTTTTTATTGGCAAGGGTGAGATGACCCAGACGTCTTCAAATCATGAGAACAGTCTTCGAATTTCATTGGTTGCTCTCCAAAACTTTTGAAGGACAGAAAATATCCTCAAATTTTAACGTGTGTTCTCGAAGTTCTCTGAAACATAAATTTTTTTATGTGCAGTATAACATAAAAGAAAAAGGAAAAAATCAGAAATGTGCATGTTTTTTTTTCTTCCAAAAAAAAAGATAGTTTTGTCGTAAAGAGAATACAAATGAAAAGCAAAAATGCACTACACAGATGAAAACGCAATACTTAACTTAATTCTTTACCGAAATTATTTTAAGACAACGCAAAACTGCTTAGTAAAAAATCAAGTGTAATGAAAGTGATTCCGCACCTGATTAGTCACCAAATGCGATCACAAGGCTTGAATTTTTTTAAAAAAAATCAAAAGAATCAGATTTTTTTGATTTAAATCGGATTTTTTTGATTTAAATCAGATTTTTTTGATTTTTATTCAAATACACTGTAAGAACTTTAATTTATGATTAAAAAAAGTTATAAGTGTTTAATCAAATTAACTTAATATTAAAACTATGTTGTAACAATATTTTAGAAGCTCTAACTAAAATAATTTTTCATTATAATACATGGCTTTGAATGCATAGCAACTGTTTTGAAAGAAATGCATGATTAAAATTTAAAGACTAGATTAAATAGAGAATTTAAAGAATACTTCAGGGGTCTGTCTGGGTTTTTCTGAGAGGTACCTATTTTGTGAAAATTAAAAATTATATTAAAAAATCAACACAAATATAG